GTAACTAAGTATAAGACCTTTCTGAGTATAAGGGCTGGTGCAACAGCCCCACTCACATGCCCACGAAGCACTGAATTGGACCCCATTCACCAACTGACAGAAGCACATGAACAGTCATTTTTGGATGCCAGTGTTATTGGCATAAGAGATACCAAAAGTCAGATAAAAAGAGAGAAAAGCCAACAGAGTCAAAAAGAGATGGTGCAGTTGCTGAAACTATCAGATGTTTAGATTATACTGTAAATAGTATACTGAAGGATCTAGAGCTGCAGATACAGTGTAGTAGTTCAGAGCACTTGCATGGCCTGTGTAAGGCTGCAGGTTTTATTTTTAGCACAGTAAAAAATACGTGTTGAATGAGGAAGTAAAAAAAAAAAGCGGACAGCCTGTATGATAAAGAATTCACTCAGAGTGATGAAACTGTAAAAAAAAAAGAATTGAATGAAATACTAGAAATGAAAAGAATTTTGTTCCCTTAAATTTATGTGTTGAAGCTCTAGCCCCCAACATTAGTGTATTTGGGAGCAGGGTCTATTCTGGTAAGGTAATCTATCATGATCTCGGATATGAAGAATTCCTTCAACCTACTTATTCGCACAGTGAGTGTGGCAGAGGAGAGAATTTGTGAACTTAAAGATAGACCACTAAAAATTATCCATCATGAAAAATAAGGAGTAAAAACAGAACAAAATCTGACAGAGCATTCCCAGAGTGGCAAACTGGTCTAACATACAGGTAACTGAGCAAGAAACAGAAGCAAGAAGAGCGGACAGAAGAAATAACAGCAGAGATTTCCTCCAAATAAATGAAAGATAAGCAAACACAGATCCAAGAAGCTCAGATAACCCTGTGCAAGACAAATACAAATGAGAACACACTGAGACACACACTATCAACAAACTGTTGGAAATCAGCAATAAAGAGAAAATCTTGAAGGCAGTCAAAAAACAATTAAGCATTCTGTAAGGAAGACATATTCAGCAGCCTCTCATCATCCAATTCAGAAGGCAGTGAGTAAAAGGTTGTGTGTTAGTCCCAACCTTTGGCTGATATACAACTGAATCCCAAAGATGCCATTTGAGGAGCAAAAATGCCAGGTAGTTTTTTTCTAGAGCCAGAGAGAGAGAGAGAGAGAGAGAGAGAGACAGACAGACAGACAGACAGACACAGACACCGACAGACACAGAGAATAGTTACCCTTGCAGGACCTAAAGGGAGATGTGTATTTTAGTCATGGCAGCTTCTAGTTCTAAATTGCTGTCTACTAGATGCCCTTAATTGAACCTTATCTACTCTGTATTTCTTTTTCTTCATTGGCTTTAGTAATTCCCTAGGTCAGTTAGTAACTAGCAAAGTTAGAATTCAGTTTAAAATTCTACATCAGAACTGGGTGTGGTGGCATTTGCCTGTATTCTCAGCACTTGGGAGGCTGAGCCAAGAGGATCACTGCAGTTCAAGGCCAGCCTGGGCTACATAGTGAATTCAAAGCTAACTTGAACTATGTAATTGAGACCCTGTCTCAAAAAAACCAAAAGAAAAATAAATTCCATCCCAGAGTTCTGTTCTCCTCTTCCTTGAAGCAAAATCAGCAATAGCCTCTAGAGAGGGGCGACAGAGGTGTTATGACTGGAGGTGGAGTCTCATTTCTATTTCTGTCCAGAATGTGTCTTAGTGCTGATGATTCCCTGGTACAGGGCCCAGCAGGTAGCAGCCTGCAGATCAGTGCCGGCCCACACTTTTTGGCATGGACAGCCACCTGAAGTCTTGGCCCCAGCTTCCTATGGATCTGCCGCAGGAGGACAAAGCTCCTTTCTTGGTAGTCCCCTGGAGGGCTTTTTCCTGCTGATGTCTTCAGCTAACCATTCCTCATTAGTTGGGCACTAGGGGAGAGGAATTGGAGCCTATTCAAGCCTCTCTTGCTTTTCCCACTTTCCATCTGTAGGACTTGAATTTGTGACAGCTGCTCTCAATATGGTACATAGCCAGACTCCCCTGAATCTTTGGGTCTTTCAATTTAGAGGGGTACCCTGTATCAGAATCTGCATTTCCTCCACAAATCCTGAAACAGACAAGTGTAGTCTGTCCCGGGACTACCGCCTGAAAATTTTCCCTCTAGGGAAATGGTATCATTTTCTTTCCTAATCTGACTACTCCCTAACCCATCTTTAGAGAATGACTGCAGTTGATAGTATCCTTGCTATCAACTGCAGGTGTAGGAAGCAAACCAGTTCTCTTGGTTGTCTCATGTTCTCCCACCTATTTGGTCTCATGCCTGGTGGAGTGATCTTGGAATCCATCAGATTAATGCCTAGTATTTTTTTCCGTAAATACACATGTAAGTGGTTACCTGGTTTGCTGTCTTAATTTCTTACTCTGTCCAAACATAATACTTTGTATGGCATCTTTCCACATCAGTTATGGAGCTCTCTGTTTGTAGGCTTTCTCTAGGGAGTGGTGTTAAATATTTGTAAAATGAGCATATGAAGAACCTAGAATTTAGAGGTCCTAACAGACTGTGTTTCAACCTCACCATCATGATGTGTGGGATAGAATTCCATTCATCACTGGGTTTACCACTGGACTCTTCTGGTCATTTCTGCTGAATTTGTGGGGCAAGATGGGACTTTGGTTGCATTTTTAGAAGAATGAGACTGGAGCGGAACAAAAGGGAATACAGAGAGCATCCTGGCATCAGTGTTGGATACTGCTTTATTGGTCTGGCTCCTTCAACTATATGTCAAAACCGTAAGGGAAAAGAAACTAGAGGGAGAAGTCTGGGATTCAGGCTTCATGAGGTTAAAATGATCACTGAATAAACTCAACATCACTGGAGATGGAGAAGAGAGCAAAAGAAACCCTAAATCAGGTTCTTGATAAGGTTAGTAAGTCATAAAAAAAAACCACTATGTGTAAGGTACACCGTTGATCTGGATTTGTCTATGATTTCTTACATAGTCTTAAGTGATACAGAGTTTGTTGATGAGAGGTTGATGATTCTTTCATCTTGTGATCACAGATTTCTCTTCATTCTTCCCATCATATCAGTAGGACAGTTCCAAAAGTATGCACCTTTCTCCTTGCAGAGAGGGATAAAATAACAAGGATAATCTTTTAAGAATTTCTGCAAATTTATGTTTCTGATTGCTGACTTAGCCAGAAAACTCTGACAGGAATAGATAGCTTCAAGTGAACCATCCTTTCTAGAAAGGTTTCAGAAATGCTATCAATTGCCGTCATTCTCTGAAGATGGGCTAGGGAGTAGTCATATTAGGAAAGAAAATGATATCATTATCTTACATATTTACTCCTTGGAGGGAAAAATTTTCAGGTAGTAGTCCTGGGACAGAAAATATGCAGTTGCATGACTCTGCTGTTACACTGAAGATTCATTCTTGGTCCCCTTTTTTGCTTAAAAGATCTTGACACTAGTATGACCATAAAAGCAAATTGGGGGCAAGAATTTGTAGGTATCTGATATTGATCAGGTGCAAGTTGTTAATTTTGTCCTAACAAGGGCAAAAACACAATGTCCTGCTTAGAAATGCTATTTTTAAGTACATGTCTTGTATGAATTTTGCTGAGTGGTACTGTTACTGAGTATACATCCTTCATGGGATTTTGCCAAGTGATTCTGCTGGACCTGTGTGCACTTCTTGTGGACCCTCCGTTATTAGTAAGTTACAATTAATACTATTATTTTTTTGCCTTAATAAACCTTATATCTCACCAGTCACCTCTGGGTATTTTCTTTAATCTCCTGACAACTCCTTCTGCTGTCCTAGTACATGGGTTAGCAAATGAAACAGGAACTCACCTACCTGAACACTGATAAATGAACACTTCAGGAGGACCTGCCTGGCCTTCCTCTGAAGGCTAAGAACCATGAATGAGGCCAGCGGTATTGAAGTGTTTTGGTCTCAGAACCTGTTTTTACTTTTCCATCATTAGTTGGATAATGGATGGATTTTCCATCCATTAGTTCACACCAGATACAATTATCTATTATAGAGTTTATGATTCAGGGACTTTTTTAGTGTATTCATAAGGTTGCACAATGACCATCTCCCTCATAAAAACTTTTTTTATCATCCTAGAAAATTATGTTATATGCATTAAGTAATCACTTTCCCAATCTTTGACAATCACTAATCTGTTCTGTCTTCATAGGGTCACCTACAGTGGATAATTTAGATTAAGGGAATCATGTAATATGTGACTTTTTGGTCTGACTTCTTTTTTTTTTTTGGTACCGGGGATGGAACTTATGACCTTGTGTTTGCCAGGCAGGTGCTTGTGCTGCTGAGCTAAATCCTTGGCCTGGTCTGACTTCTTTCATTTAGTATAATATTTTTGTGACTCATCCACACAGTTGCATATATAAATATTTCATTTCTTTCCACAACTGAGTAATATTTCATTGTATGGATATACCACAGTTTACTTACTCATTTACTAATGGATAGTTATTTTTTTCTATCTTTTGATAATTATGAATAATGCCATTGTAAACAGTAGGGTACATCTGTGTGTTTGGACATATCGCTCTTGAGTATTTGCCTATGAATGGAGTTGCCCAGTCATTTGGTAATTATGTGTGTAATATTTTGATTAACTACCAATCTGTTTTCCATAGCAGCCATGGTGTTGTACATTCCCATAAACAGTGTATGAAAGTTCTTTTTTTTCTTTTTGTTTAAAGTCACTTTCACGGCATGAAGCAGTCTCACTACAGTTTTGTTTATTTTTATTTTTTGTGATGCTGGGGATAGAATCCAGGCCTCATGTGTGCTAAGTAAGCACTTTATCACAGGGCCTCTCATATCCCCAGCCCTCTCATAGTTTCAATTTACATTTCTAAAAAGTCCAATGATGTTATGTGCTTTCTAGCATTTTCCAAGCCTCTTTTATGTTATTAAAAATTATTAAACCTGTTGAAGTCTTCAAAGAGCTTTTGTACAAGATTCACAGCTAGCAATATTCACCATATTTTGAAATGAAGACCAAGAAATTTAAAAAACAGTATTTATTAATAACATCAGAATGATGACATACACCATCATTTATCATGTAGTTTCTGGGAAATTCCACCATACATTTGTGAGAGGATGGAGAGCAAAGATAGGTAAATAACATATAAGAATTTTTTGATGTAGCAGCCTCTTCTCCCTCAAATTGAGTAATGGCAATACTGTTCAGTTTTACTCAAGTGAAAGTAAAACATTTTTTTTCCTATAGTCTGAGTCCTCTCAAATCTCAGAAAACATATTTGGGGAAAGGGGGTATATTTGGAGAAACTCTGGTTTGTACCTGGCTGGTCACAGAAAGGGCAGAAAATGATAATCTGTGTCTAGAGTCTGCTAAAATCTGCCACATAGTTTAAACATCAGGTGTTAAATTTGAATACCTGAGCCAACTGGGTTGACAGGCGATATCTTACCCACAAGATTTCATCAAAGGCTTAACACTAAAGGCTCTTTGTGTTGGGGGTAGAATGTGCACGGGATAAACTCAGGGATTCTCAAAGTGTGTTCTGCAGATCAGGATGATCAGTTTCACCTGGGAACGTGCTAGAGATGTAAATGCCACATCCAATGAGTCAAACACTTTGAGATGGGTCAAAAATAATCTGTGTTTTAAAAAGGCTTCCAGGTAACTCTGGTTTGCCGAGCTTTTTGGTAACATTTCAGGACATTGGGATATCTTTATCAAAGTTTCCAAAATTAAACTTTATCAGTATAATCTCTCCATCATCTTCATCCTTTTTTCATTCCTTCCGTAGGCATTGAAAGTACTGTTCCCTTTTCACTGTCTCTATGACAAATACTGAGAAAGCACACATTTGCGCATTGTGTATCTACCTGTAAGCATCATATTAGTGCAGGTCTGAGTCGAAGTTTAACTTACAGTCATCCCAAAGATGAAAATTCTTATAAAGAAGCCCAATGTACAGGCAAAACATTTCAATAAGCATAATTCATGACCCAGGACCTGGTTTATACTTCTGTTTCTGACAATGACTCCAGTGAAACTCTTTCAAATATTGATTCTGTACAGTTCCCAGGGCTTGGCTGCTCTGTTTTAGTGTTACCCCCAAATTACTCTGCCATAGCTTCTGTTCTTTGCGAAATAAAAAATAAAGCCACAGTAGAAGGTCTTTATAGGACCAAACTTTTAAGAAAATCATCCTTGTTATCAGCCCAGAGTTCTGAGAAGATGTTCTGTAGGTGATATAAACAAGAGAATGGAGCAGTCAGCCAGAGCCTGGGAAAAGAACCATCACCTGGACAAGCTCCAGGAACTTGGGGCAGGTGGAGGGAAGGGGGAGTATATTTACATTAGTGCTGGTCTTCCCTTGGGGTTTCCAAGATGGGAAGTTGGAGTGAAGTCCACATAACTTTTCTTTATATTGTGTGTGGTGTAGAGTCCCATACCATTCTAGCTTTCATCAACTCATATACAAAAATAAGACTGAGTGTTCTGGTTTTTCCTCCATTTTCCCTTGAAAGACCTCGGGCTTGCTGTTTGGAAGAGGCTGGAACTCAGTCTTTGATGTTACAGACTGGCTAAAGGATGAATTGCTGCGAGGTGACTTCAGAGATTTCTAAGACCTAAGAGGTCACAAGAGATATCTGTTGGGTAAGTGTATTACTTCCTGGTGTTGCTTGTGCTTCATGACTCCTCTTAGCTGTTCTTGGCTTCTTCCCACTGTTGGTTTTCTAGATGGCTCTTCTGTTCTTCTTCCTGTAGTGACAGTGTATCCAGAATTAGTAGGACAGGAACTAGGATGCCATTAGGCACTAAGGACAGTGAAGTGGAGAAAACTCTAACAAAATTGAGTTGGGAAGCCCAAAATGGAGCGTGATGAGTAAGGACTCTCCAGAAATCCTAGAAAAACCTTCCCAGGGCATGAGCATGAGCATGCAGGCCATTGGCTCAAAGGCACGTGGGTCTTGCATGAGCACTGCATAACACTGAATACACTGAACCCTACAAAGTACATAGTTTCTTTTATGGTAGAAGTTCAGTTCCTTACACAACAGCCCAAGCTCATTTTTAAATCCCTTAAAACCTCTTAGACAAAGATTTGGGCAATCTTTTTCAGAACCTCTTTTGGCCAGCAGAGATTTTACTGCCTTGACTTTATATGATTTACTTTTTTGCCTTTGTATCTTTTAATTAAATTTGCTTGATCCTACCTCCTTTATCCATGGTTTCATTCTTTGTCACTATGGGACACAAGTTGAGAATTCTGGTTAGAATGGACCTCAGTCATAGCCATATGTGTAATACTGCACCGAGAGAAATGTGGTCCCCACTCTAAACCAGTGTTGGAAGAATATTCCACTTTAGTCCCAACTGACCTGCTAACTTCAAATTCTGCCTCAGGATGATGTTACCTCCCCATGTGATAAAACATGATCTCAAACCCTCTCCAACCCTCCAGAAGCCAAAACTTGGCTGCCCTATTTAGCTTCCACTGTGTTCCTATAGTGTGATGATTCATTTTGCTGTTCCATGAATGCATCTGAGAAAGAACCCAAGGAAGCTCTCTCATTTCCCTGTTAATTCTAGGCTGGAAAGTACTGACCTAAATGCTGAATGGGTCTCAGGGAATGAATAGCACGCGGAGTTCTGCTTTGTGGCTAATTAGCCAAGGGTACAGGGCTTCAGATCCTCATTTTATGTCATATTTTAGGAGATGGTGGATACAGGGCCCAGGTGTCCCACATATTACAAATTGGGGGTCTTTGCTGGTCATCTGTTTTCCTTAACATTCACTTCCCCTCAGCCAACAAATCTTGCTCATGTGACCTCTTTTAAGTGTTCTTTATTCTTTTTCTCCTTTCTAATATATATCCAGTGACCTAGTCAATCATTGTCTGTTAAGTGGATTTATTCCATTCTAATGTATACAAATTGCCCCTTGGTAGCTCACTATACATCTGGCCTCTACACAGTAGTCAGACCATGTGGAAGGCCAGTGTTACCATTTGCTTACAATTAAGATGGTCTGGGTTTCTCTGTTGCCCTCACAGTCAAATCCAGGCTCTCCTGTCTGACCCCATCTCCTATGGCTTGATCTGTCCACACACATTGTCATCACCAACCTACATACTTTACGCCACAGTTGCACAGCACCACTTGGCTTCTCCCAACATATTATCATGTTATTTAATTGCTCTATATCTTTCCTACCAGAAGCCACCTTCTTCCCTTCTTGATCTATCTAGAGGCATTTCAGGACCATCAGCTCTAGAAGACTTTTTCGAAACTTCATGTAGGATCGTGTCCTTTGTCATGGCTCCTACTGTATCTTAGATTTTAACAAATTGCATTTCAAGTCTATGGTTTTTTTTGTTTGTTTGTTTTGTCTTTCCACTAGGTTGTAATCTTCTAAGAACAGGATCATGTTGTATTCATCTTTGGATGAATATGCTCTATAATTTTCAATTTTATTTACCTGGAGGATAATAGCTGCCAAACTGAAATAATAAGAGCAACAAAGTCTGCCAAATGATTTGCATGAATTGAAACTCTTGGTTTCTAGCCAGTACTGTGTTATAGAATTTTCTACAAAGATAAAAGTCTTGTGTTTGCTTTTATCCAATAAAGTAGCTACGTGTGGCTAGTGAATACCTGAAACGAAGTCAATGTTGCCAAGCAACTTAATTTTTTATGGTATTTACTATATCTAAATTTAAACTTAAATATCCATGGGTAGCTAGTGGCTACCATATTGGACATTATGGTTTTAGACATAAGTCCATTATGGTTTTAGACTCAGTCCTTATGTAAGTCACAGGAACATTTTGTTACTTTCTTCCTTTTTCAGAGCCTCATAATGCAAAGCTCCAAGCAGAGTTGCACTGGGAATCATTCACATCCAGTTTTCTGGAAATGACTGCCTTTTTCTGTTGTATAAATTCTGCCACCACGCCTGCCTCTCAGCTACCAATGTGACATCCCCTGGACACAGAGTTGGGAAAAGTAGCGCACTATATTGTCCCCTTTCTATGACAGAGCTACCATAGGTGTAGGTGACTCTGAGAATAGGGATAATAGTAAGATGTAGTAAAATAATTAGGTATTGGTTAATTTTGAGTATTACTGTTGTTATAATATAATTTAGTTTGTACACTTTAATTTTTGTAACTATCCTAACTATATGTACACATATACACATGCATTTTCTTTCAGCTTCTCACACTAATGAAACAATATGATGTTTACACATGCATACACTTTAATTTTTAAGATTGATGGTACTTCTTAAAGAATTTCACAGGGGTCATGGTGGCACATGCTTGTAATTCCAGCACTCAGGAAGCTGAGGCAGAAGGAATGTGAATTTGAGGTCACACTGAGATAGATAGTGAGTTTAAGACCAGCCTGATCTATACAGCAAGACCTGGTCTCAAAAAAATAAAAAATAATAAAAGATCCCCCCTCCCCGGGCTGGTTCACAGGATAGAGCATTTGCCTGTCATGGTCAAGGCCCAGGATTCCACCCCTAGAACTGCAGAACAATATGCACTGCAAGTTCCTGAGAATTTAACCATGGGAGCCTGCTGTCCTACATCCCTAGCTCCAAGTAATTGTTCCAAAACAAATAAATCTCTGGCCAAGTTTCCATCATCTTTCAGTAATTCAAGTATAGGATTTCCGTTTGACCACAAGAGGGCAACATTAGATGAAATTAGATGCTAAACAGGAGGATTTTTGGACAAGTTCTCTGACCAAAGAGATCATTTTGAGATTTTAGTCTCTCAAAGTCAGCAATACTTCAAGGTCCTCTAGATACTTACATAGTTTCAGGCTATTCATAAATTCTGAAACACTTTCAAATAGCCTTATCTTCTACTTTGAGAGGCAAATCAGATGCTTGCCAGGTACCAAGCTAGAGAAAGGTCTCACAAGTACTGAGCACCTACCGTATGTCAGGTACATAGACCATTTCCTGTAACTCCTGAGAGCAATGGGCAGACTCCCCGATCTATGGATAATTCCTAACACAATAATGCTGGCGGGATTCTCATTTGCATTGCAATAATTTGTGCCTTTTAATTCATATGAGGAATGTTAACATATTTCAGACTTTGAACATTTGCTTACTTATATTGGTATAAGAATATCGCTCTTCTCTCTCTCTCTCTCTCTCTCTCTCTCGCTCTCTCTCTCTGTCTCTCTCTCGCTCTCTCTCTCTCTCTCTCTCTCTCTGTCACTCACTGGGCTAAAGTATACAAGAACTTGGGGTTTGAGGGTCTTACTGGGGATTTTATACTAGGGTTGGCCATCGCCTACCCCAGTGCAGATGATAGGGTTCCTCCCTAGATAGTCAAGAGAGCAACACAGATAATCTTACAGTCTCTTCTCTAAAGGGAGGGAGAAGCTGGCTTTTCTTAATTCTTAATTCTGTTAGCCTAGTGAAACTTGTAGGTAGTGCTTATGCCATTTCCAGGGATGAATCTTGAGGTGCTTTGCCTTCTCTGTCCTTTGATGAATGTGTTGCTCAAGAGCCATGAACTCACCATCTCCACTGCCAGGTGAGGCCACTCAGAAGGAGGACGCTGATCAGCAGAAAAATACAGCCGGCCACTGTCAACAGAGAGGTAGTTCAGCAAAGGCATACTGGGGCTGGACTTTGGGAGCAGGAGGAGATGGGTATACAGGACCAACTGGAAACTCGCCTTAAAAAAAGTGCAATTATCTCCATTTTGACTAAACCTGGCCCTATCTCCATGTACTAATATGTACAGAGCTGGCTAGGTCATTTCCTTTTCCTTTCAATTGTCTTCAAGCAATGTAAATCAGTCTAGTCAGGTGCTGATGTGTAGTCTTCAAAGCAAGGTGACAGTCAGTATTTCCCCATCCTGCCTCTCAACTCCCAAAACACATGTGTGAGCTAGGTGGGATGGAGAACCAGGCTCCAATGCTGTCAGCCAAGATTGAGCCTCAAGAAAGAGGCTCAATCTCTTGCCATAAAAGGAACTGTGCCTGCTCTCTGGGTCAAACACATAAACATCTCACAAAAGTGTTCACATTTTTCAGATGCTGATCTGAAGACATTCTGAAGTTATCCATTTATCATCATCCAGGCAGAGGGAGGTTTAAGCCATATTTCCTACCCCAGAAAACTGCTGCTGTGTTTGTGGAACTGTCTGCCCTCTTTCCCTGACTGTATTCCCCTCTCCACCTTCCTTCCTGTCTGTGCATCACTAATGAACATGGGATATTGCTCAGGAACTAGTTTGAGACTTAACTTACAATATTTGTAACAAATCTTGGAGTAATGTTAGTATCCAGATTCATGTTTTTACCCTTAAAACTTTATATGTTGTAAGAAAGGGTTATTTAAACCGGTCAACTAGTCTGTCCATGTCTGGGTTGGAGGTACATTTTGTCCACAGAGAAAATGATCCCACTCACTTGCTATGTGATACTCGCTTGGAAATATGGGCATCTCCACGGTGACAGATGTTTCCATCTCTTTTGCAGACTCTAGGAAAAAGACAGAGGAAGTGACACTCAGTTTATGCCAGGATTAGGACTGCATGAAGTTGGGGAAGGTGACGGCTTCTCAGTGATCTCTTTCTGATGGGAGGGATGTGGGGACCAGCACAGCAGGGATAGATGTATCATTTCACTGCCTGGGGACTGCCAACTCGTTGGTCCCTTTCTGACATTTGCTGTGGGGTATGCAGGTTTCTGAGGCCAGTTCCAGCCTTAGATGGGAGGAGACAGCTAACCCTGCCCATCTGCTGAAGAGGTGTGTGTTAGACAAAGTCTGCCCTTTCCTGGTTTGTCTTTAATGACTGAACCTCTGTCCTCATGGGACTTTTCCCATACCTGTTGTGGTGATGGGGCAGGAAGTCTCACTTTCAGGAAGGGCATCTGTGCTTTCCAGAGAATCTTCCTGACCTGGAGAGAAAATAAGCAATGCTTGTGGAGCCCAACATGAGTCAATGGGCACTTCACTCCTCTTCACACCTGCCTTCTATTTCTGGACCCAGATATGGCTGGTGATGAAAGACTCCTGCTTTGGTACATTTCTTGGGACACAGTTCCATGTCAGACTCACTGGGAAGCAATTAGGTTGTTGTCAATCAGCCCGGGGTTCTTTTGCTTAATTCAGATGGAAATTATGAATTCGCAGTACACCTCTGATAGCAGTCCCGATGTCACTGGATGATACCAAGTAATGTTGGGTGTCAACAACTGACATAGTCAGTTGGTCACTGCTTTTGCCAACTGTCACTATCTGAAGCTGGCGTGTGCTGGACATCTTAGAAATAGATCAGAATACAAACACTGAAGAAGTATCATATAAGGAGAGAATGCATGAAGGATAGCCCCTTCTCTTTGACGGGTCCTCTTTTTCTCCTAGTATGATTAATGAGCTGCTTCTTCAGTCTCTTATGAAAAATGGTATGGGAAAGCAGTAACTTCCCCAGAGGAAGTCAGGCACTGTGAGGATATCTGGTGAGCACAGAACCCTGGAATGCCCATGATGGAGTGTAACTTTTGATTGTAGAAATTGTAGTAATATTTCAAGATGAAGCTAGGAAAAGACCTCAAAATAATCAGGTTATATGTGTGCAGGTGTGCATGTGCATATGATATATGTATATGTGTGTGTGTGTGTGTATAGTATGCATATGCACACTTGAATAAACCCCTTTACTTCAGGTTATTGCTTTCATCAGAATTCAAGTGAAGATTAATACCGGGAAAGAGCATGATAACAATGGAGCACTGTGCCAATGACAGATCTATATTACACATTGATAAAAGGAAGATCATGTGGATTTTCCTCTTTCAACTAAAGGAAAGTTTTAGCAGCTTGGGGAAAATAGTACAATTTCAGGACCAGTAGACAAGGGACAGCACTATCATCACAAGGCAGCATCATGAATGCCTGGAAACACCTGAGAGAGCTTGCTTTCTTCTCTGACTCTGATCATCACCATCCAGAGTGCAGCAGGACCATTTTAGGTGAAGAGGTCCAGAGTTCATCTGATCCATTTTTTTAGATGAGAAAAAACTGAGACCCAGGAGACCAACTGGTTTTCTCTAGGCCACATAAAAGTAAAGTCAGGGTTCCATCCCATTGACAGATGCAGGGAACAACGGAGTAGACCCCAGGAAGGAGCCCCTTACCTGCAGACGAATGGAGCTCATTTTCAGCTATGCATGTGAGCTGGGGCTGGGTCCACTTTGCCTCTCCACAGGTCATTTTGCAGACGCTTATGGCAGGACCTCTCTGGATGGCCTTGTATCCCTGGATGCATTGGTAGTGGACTGTCTGCCCCACCTTGAAATGATAAGTTCTCTTTGCAGCTTCATGTTTCCATGGAGCGGGCTCCCTGCAGTCACCTGAGAGATGTAAGAAGAATTCCAAAGGCAAGTTAGGGAAAGAATTCTGAGTGAATTAAGGTTACCTCTTGCTAATGCCAGGAATTTGGTTCTTATTCTTTGGTTCATTTCATTCTTCACTAAGCTTACATGTACTGAGAATGTCCTTGTGACAAGAATATTGCTAGACACTGTAGAAAGGCAGAAACCCAGTCACTTTTGCAAAGGATGGACAGTCAATAGGGTCAAGAGACATAGGAAGGCAGAATGTGGTGGGAATTGCAGGTGGGGGGCAAACTCTTTCAAGGAATACTGGGAAATGAGTCATTCATTCTAATTGATACTATCCCTGATGAAGTATCTCTGAAAAACAACATAAGGTTTGAAAAAGTAGACTAAAGTAGGGAGGGTGATCTTGGCTGAAGCATAAGGGCAGGATCAAGCCAATGTGGAGACCACTGTCTTAGTTACCCTTCTCACTGCTGAGACAAAATACCTCATAACCAACGTTAAAGGAGGAAAGGTTTATTTTGGTTTACATTTTATAAAGACTTCAGGCTATAATTGGCTGGTTGTAAGGCAGGATGGCATGGCAGAGGGGCATCACAGAGGAGAAATAGTTCATAGCAGGTGGAAGACAACAAAAACAAGCAAGTGCCCAACTACAAGTAACAAACACTAAGCCTCTCTCTGTCTCTTATATTCTATCAGGGCTTCTCACCCTTAGGGTGGTTGGCATTCACACTCAATGTTAGGACCCTTACTCCTAGCACTGCACCATGAATCAGTCACACACTCTGGATCCAGCCATCTCTGAAAAGCCACTTATGACCACATGAAATTTTGGTGGGAGGACACCATTATGGCGTGTATGCAGATGCAGATGTCATAATGCCCTCCTTCCCCCTGGATATGCTGGATATCTTTGCCATCCTGGACCACAAGGGAAGGATCACAAGGGACAAAGGCAAAATTTGAAGGCGGGAAGAATTAAGAGAATTTCAGAGATACTGCGCACGATCTGTGATTAAGCCAAGCCTGAAGCTTGACCCACATTGATCTTGTTCAGACTTCTAAAGTTCCCTTAAATCAGTGGTAGTGAACTTTTTGGAGCTTTCAGTGGTACAAACAGCCAGCAGCTGCACACATGCCATGGGTTCTCACCACTGCCTGATACCTGTTAGCTTTACACTTGCCTGACTACAGCCTGGACCTGACTGACCTTTGCCCTCATAGTTCGTGTCATGTTCTGATTTAATCTCACAATTCCCTACCCACTGTCCTCAGTTGAATCATATGGAACTGTATGTGTCATAAAACTGTCCATAAATGCTAATCTTCCAGACTCTCTACAACCCCAGGTATCTTACATAACTGCCACCAGTATTTTGTTTAAGCCCTCTGGAACAGCAGAAAGCCAATTGGCCCTATCCTGACCTATCTTCTGTTACATAGCATTTTGCAAATCATGACTGAACTTGTGTTTTAGTCTCCAAATAAAATGTTCTTTCAAGAATACTAAAATTCTTAGCTGTCTGATAGAGACAGGCAAAGAGTTCACAAACAAAATGCAGATAGCACAGGAGGTACTTCAAAGAATAAACAACTGGGATCTCATTTTACTAAAAAGTTCTTGTACATCAAAAGAAGTCACCTACAGTGTGCAAAGAACACTCTCAGAATGGGAAAAAGGTTAGCCAGCTGTCCCTCAGCCAAAGGACTTACATTCAGAACATATAAAGAATTGAAAAAAATCATGCCTCCAAATTCAAAGCCCCAGTCCAAAAATGTGCATCTGAGATGAACACGCACTTCTCAGACCAAGAAATACAAATGGCAAATAAATATTTGAAGAGACGTTCAACAACAGTGATCATTAGAGAAATGCAAATTAAAACAACACTGAGATTCCACCTCACTCCAGAAATAATGGCTGTCATCAAGAAATCAACCAATAACCAATGCTGTCAGAGCTGTGGGGAAAAACAAACACTTCTCCACCATTGTAGGGAGTATAGACTGGTGTAGCCACTATAGAAATCAGTGTGGAGGTTCTTCAAAAATCTAGGATTGGAGGTCTCATTCAATCCAGCTATTCCCTTTCTGGGTATTTTTTCGAAAGAATTAAAATCATCATACCAAAGCAATATATGTGCACCCATATTTTATACCATCACAATATGTAATAGTAAATCTTGGAAACAATTCAAATGCCCATAGACCATGGAATGGATAAAAAAGATGTAGTATTTTTATACAATGGAGTATTACTCAGCTATAAAGAAGGATAATCTTGAGGCTTAAACATGTAAATGGATACAACTAGAGACTATACTCATAAGTGAAATAAATCAGACACATTTATAAATATTGTATTGTCTCCATAGTGTAAATAAAAAAGAGTAAATAAGATTCAAAATGCATAATAGGTATTGTGATAATGAAAGGAAAAGAAAGTACTCAAAAAGAAAGAACAACTGGGATAGGGAAAAAGCACAGAAAGAAGGAAAAAGATTATCTATACATATGTATGCATATATATGAGATTGTATATATATTACAAGTTGATAACCACTAGTGATCTCTGTTAGTTCATCAGAAAGAACAGATTGTGTTTTCATTGTCTGATTGATCATTTTTTCTTGACTAAATCGTATAATCTGAACAAGTATTTTCAAGATAACAATATACAATATATTAACTAGTGCTAATTTCTTATTTTTTAAATACTGTATCATTTTTATCCTTTTTTTGTTTTTAAAATAAAAAAGAAAATTCATAGCTATTTGAACCAAATGGAATTGGGTTTGCTTCATTCAAATGCAAACACCCAAACTGTGACAATTTGTAAAACATTCCCCAGCCAGGGCCAGCTGGTGATTATTGCATAAGGACAATAAACACTGACGTCTTGGAAGCCTTTCAATAGTTGTGGAGGGTGACATGAGGCGAGAAAGCAAAACAAATAGTAAATATGTTTGGAAAAAACATTCCAGGGCTAAGTTGGAAGAGGGAAAAGATAAACAATGTCCCTGGCCAGATCTTCTGCTCCATAATAATAAAAAGCTGCAAATCAACTCAAAGTAGCTGGACAGAAATGTCTCTCATCGCCAGGAATGGTGGCTCATACTTGTGTTCCCAGCACTTGGGAGGCTGAGGCAGAAGCATTACCATGAATTCAAGGTCAGCCTGGGCTACATAGTGAGTTCAAGGACAGTCTGGACTACATAATAAGATCTTGTCTCCAACAACCAAACCAAACCAAACCAAACCAAAACAAACCAAACCAAAACAAAACAAAAGCAAAAAGTCCCTCCCTCATCTAATCTAGGTGGCCCCAGGTCTTATTCTAGTCTGTTATGGGATCTTTGCTAAATCTTTTAACTTCTCCATGTCTCGGTTCCTTTAGAAAACTGAAAAAATACTTCCTGCTCCTTCCCTCATTGAGTTGTCGGGCTCCCATAAGATTCTATACGATGTCACACTGCTCTTTGAAAGGTTGTGCAATTAGTGTTATACTAATGGGAGTCTTCATACACCAATGGGTCTTCCAGATGCTCAAATTTTTCGAGCAGGCTCTTACTTTTTCCTGACACGATGACTTCATTTAAGCATTAGTCATTTGAGAAAGCTGAGAGCAGCCACAGGGCTCCCTCACCCACAGCCAATTAGCTATGGGATTGTCTGGAGCTCTTCAGAATCACCAGGGTCACATGGCACATTTGAAGACCCTGTCCTGTAAGAAACATCTTGACATACACTATTTCAGTTGTAAATTTATTGCCTTCTATAGAATTTCCTAGAGGACAGAAGTTAATGTCCTTCTTGAGTTTGTATCTCCTGTTGGCAGTGCCTGGTGCAGTCAATCCTAACATGTACTTTTGAGTTGAGCTGAATTCTACTCTGCCAGCTCCTAACCCATACCTAGTTTGACTCCCACAAGAGAGGTATGAGATGCTGAGCAAACAGCCTGCCAATGTCAAGCAATGGTTCCTGTCCATGCAGACTGTAAGGAGAGTGAAATGCATGTGCTAAAAAGCAGACAATCTTGCCTCCTTTGAAGAGAGTATCATCCTATACTTGCAAAAGTGTAAGAGTCAGCTAGATGATTATCGTTCAGATACATCTCACAATACACACACACACACACACACACACACACACATTGTACTAGGAATCAAACTTATGACCCTGTGCTTGCCAAACAGGTACTGTGCCGCTGAGCTATATCCCCAGCCCTCAGATGCCTCTCTTACCTGGAAGGTTTATTGTGTCCATAGGCTGTATCTGACTTTGCACTTCTATGGTGTTTTTTCCTTTGTGTTCTTCAGGTTGAGGTGTAACTCGTTCTCTTGCATTATGGGCTAGAGATGATGGGAGGAATGAAACAAATAACTTCACAAATGCTTTATGTTCTTTTTCACTCAGGAGCATCCTCTAGTCTTCATGGTTTCCCAGTAATGTCTTGGTTGAGGTCATGGAGGTGGACCAGGTACAAGCCCTCCCTTGAGTGTGGCCTGCACTGGCCTCTCCATATTCACTCGCTTAACAACATCTACAACATACTACAAATGAGTAAGAAACTCACATTTGAAGAAATGAATGATTTTCTGATGGAAAATTCTTTTTTTATGACAGGGTCTTGCGTTGTAGTCCAGGCTGGTCTTTAACTTACCAGGTAGTCCAGGTTGGCCTCAAACTTGTGACAACCCTCCTGCCTCAGCCTCCCAAGTGCTGGGATTACAGGCATGCACCACACCCAGCTTGGAAAATTCATTTTTGTGCATGTGTATCTCACTGAAAGGAACTCCTTTCTTGTCATCAGTTCTATCAGTGTCATGCTTGGGTATAAGGGACAGCAATTAGGAGTGTTTCAATTCTACAATCTAAAGAATTTTACACTCTTCAAGGCAGTTTAAAACCTTAAAGTGATGTGATCATAAAGCAATGACAAGAAAATTCCTTATGTAACAACCGCCTGCTGTGAAGGGCTTGGTAGAGGAGCTGCAGCTGAGCACCCCAATGAAGTAGGGGGACAGTGCTCCAGTTTAAGCTAAGGGAGGGATCTGCCGGATGAATGAAGCACAGAGCAGCTATCTTCAAACTTCACACCCCTACACAGTATGACTCACTGACCCACACCGTCTCCAGAGTTAAGGAATAAAGCTAAATGGATCCACCACATTTGCCACATTCTAATGCCACAGAGAATTAAGTCCATGTGAGAGAGCTTTCGGGATATAAGGAAGAAAGATCAACATCAAAATCACGGTATCAGACCCACTTGATCTTAGAGAGCCTAGGATAGTTCTTGGAACTAGTAACACTCAACAGATACTTGTTTGTTGAATAATTATTTCAGAAACCATTATAATTAGTTGTCCTGCAGATTGCTAGGACTACCTTTTTTCTATAGGACTCATTGACCGAAAGCTGAACTCCATCTCACTAAAGCCCTTAGTAGCTACAAAAAGAACTACTTACAAGTGCTTGCACATTGACATTTGTTGGCCCAGGAAGAATTTCCTTTACAAAGCAGATACATTGACCCATTTTTTATCCTGCGGAAACCTTTCTTGCAATCACAGATTACCATGGTGCCATTCTTGTAGGTGAGGGCTTTGAATGTGGCGTAGCTGATGCTTGGTGGGTCCTGATCACAGTCCTCTGCAAAGGGAAGGAAGCACATCAGGGGCTTGTGAGGCTCTGGCCAGACACACATTCGATCACATAATGACTGAGGCACATACTCCTCCACTTTATTGAAAATATTTACCTGTGCCTACTTTGTCCTAGAAAGAAACTCAGTCTTCCACTTTTCTTTAAAAACCTTTATAGCAGAGATTCTTCAGCAATTTTTTTTTTTTGGTACTGGAGATCAAATTCAAGACCTCACGCTTGCGAGGCAGAAGCTTATGCTGATAGGCTAAATACCTGGCCCTCTTCAGCAATTTTCACCCACTCGTCTCACCAAAGTAAAATATATTTTAAATTAAAGGAGTAAAAATGAGCGGTATAGCTCAGCAGCACGGCACCTGCCTGGCAAGTATGAGGCTCTGAGTTTGAGTTCCAGTACCAAAACCAAAAGCCATTGAGATGAATGAGGTTTTATTCTGAATAGGCCTCATGTCGCCAAATGTAGAAAGGCAAAGGTCGAGGAATGTGAGGGAAGAGAGGAATGAAAGCCATGCAAATATAATTCAGGGACAAGATTATCTGTGCAAAATAACTTTTAAGAACTAAGACGCATGAGATTTTTCTATAGTCAGGGACACAGAGACATTGTTTTTGAGAAACAGACAAAAAATGTTTCACTCAGTGTCTGACAAATAGGAAATGTGAGTTTCTTACCCATTTGCATACCACTGCATTTATTAGCTACCTTCTCACAGCCTGAAAAATGGACACTGGTGCCCAGTAGGAACATCAGAAGCAGTGGTCCAGCTCCCAACTGTTGAATGGGGAAATGGCTTCAGACTTATCAGAAAAATTATTTCATTGCATACTTCACAATAAGTTCTTTTGCTTGAAGAGATTAGATGATTAAGAAAAGGCAATATGCTGGATAAAGGGAGAAGATGAAGGGATGGCAGCTGCCTATCGGTTGGCCTATTGCTTATTGTGTGTTAAGTATGGATGTCAACTTGAGTGAACTGATAAATGCCTAGAGAACTGGTAAAGTATGCTTCTAGATTGTGGCTCCAAGGCCGTTTCCAGAGAGGTTGACGTATGGTCAGCAAACAGTCACTTTGGGGAAAGTATCATCCTACACTTTGCAAGGGCCAGAAAGCACTCTCAATGCAGTGATACCATGCAATCAGCTGGCAGCTTAGATGGCAAATCTCTCTCTTTCCCCTTAAAGCCTTTGAACATAAGAGTCCAGGATCTTTTGCCTTTTCGCTTCAGGATTTGCACCAGCCTCTCTCCCAAGGTTCACAGACTTCAGCTTCAGACTGGAAGCTGTATTATTTGTTTCCCTTGTTCTGGGCCTCTTGCTTTTTGGATTGAGCAATCACAACGGACTCTGTACTATGTAGATGGCTGTCATGGAATTTTTCGACCTTTAAGATCATGTATGTCGATTTGCTAATGCATTCACAGTTAGAGATACATATTTTATTGCTTCTGGTTCTCTGGAGAACCCTAACCTTCAGATTAATTGCTCAGGTTGGTGAAGCTTCCTCACTTTTTCACTCTGTTCAGAATGTTAGCATACAAACCACACCACTCAGGACTTTCCTGGATCCCATGAGAATTGGAAGTGAGAAGTGTTGGGGACCACAAATTCACAATGGTTAAATTTTCATACTTCTCTAAGGGATGAATGGAGGTTTGCGATTATTGGGATCACCTTTTTGAGATTTCTCATTAACTCTTTGGGATTGGGTCAACCTCTCCCAGCTGCTAAGACTAAACTAAAATCACTAAGATTAAAAAAACACTACAAGACAAGATCCTTCTTAGCATGGGATCATCTCTGCCCTTTTGAGTCACGTCAGGAGTCTTCCACTGATTTTGAATCTTCTGCTGACCTTGAATCTTCCCCTAAACCCCTCCTATCATTGTATACACCCAAAAGTGACTGATTTGGAGTGTCTTTGCCTCCGGCCATCCTGAGGCATTAACTTCCCAGCCTCCCTTCATGCATTACTAAATTTGTCTTGGTTTCTTATTTCATCTTTTTTCTGTACCCCTCTACAGGCAGTTGATCTTTTCCAGATTTTTTTTTTAGATCCTTGATAGAGAAGGACTTGTACAACTTGGTCTATTGCTAACCAAGATGATACTAACAAAAGCAATTTAAATGCTCTCAGGGGGCCAGCAACTCAATAAGAAAGTTACAGAAGAAACTCAAATAATTATTATAGTAAAGCAAGAAAAGGGAGAAAGATATTTATAAATTATAGCTTCTAAATGCTAGCTCTACCAGCTTACTAGCTATATGACTTCATTGTTTTAATTTCTCTAGAGTTTACTTCCTTTTTCTTTAAAATAAACATAAAGACAATTATTTAATTATTTTTAAAATTACGTGGAAAAATATCATAAGGTAATGTTTAGAGGAGCCACCAGATACTAGGAATGGATGTTACTTCTACTCCCTTCCTTTTGTGTGTGTTTTTTGAGACAGGGGCTCACTGCTCATTTCAGGCTGGCCTTGAACTCATTATGTAGGCCAGCCTGGCTTCAAACTTGCAGTAATCTCCTGCTTCAGCCTCCTGGAAGCTATATCACCGTGCCCAGCACTTCTTTTCTTTTTTTCACTGTCCAGGAAAAAAAAAAAAAAAAAAAGAATGCTAATTCAGACAGAGACTGGCTTAAAGTTTGCCTTGACCTTGAACTCCTGCAAAAGTTTATATCTCTGTACTGCCCATATCATAGATTCAACTTGCTGGCACTTATTACATATCAATGCCAACCAAAATTTTAAGGGCCAGAAAGCAAACCTGCTATTTGAAAGGGTTTTGGCCCAGACAGGACACTGTAGCCAGGAAAGCCACAACCAGAAGCCGGCAGCCCCAAGCTCGCCCGCCCCTAGGAAGTTACCGGTGACACCATCTTCCCGCCCCTGGAAATTTACATATGGCGCCAAACCTAGGACCAATGGGCTACCTGTGTATCCCTAATGCCCGCCTTAGGTTCCACCCCAAACCAAGGCTATTTACAGGCCCCCACGCCACGTGTCCGCTGGAGAGATCGCCGGACGCCAGCGGTGGGGGTGTGGGTCATCTCTCTCCGTGTTCTCAGAATAAAGGCCGCTTTTTATTTTATATTTCTCATCTTTTGTTAATATTTTTCATCTTTTGGAAAAAACCCTAGCACTATTAAAGCAAAATAAGGATAAAAATCAGAAAAACCGATGAGAATTGTTCCTTAAGTCATGCTCGAGTAACTGGGATCAAAACTTATCTTTCTGTTAAAAACTATAAACCCAGACCTAGATGTGTGCAATAAGAGATTTTGGGTATTACACAACAGGCAGTTCAGGGCTGTGCTATTTACCAGGAGAATCAGTCTACAATTGTATGGCTTTCTTCCTGGGGCACTTATTCCCATGTAGTACAAGGTTGAGCCCAGATGCTTTGGTGGCCTCACTGACTTAGCATGACTGGCTCTGTGGAGTGGGGCCCTGGAGAGGAGGGGGCTCCAGAAGTATGCGTGGGGCCCCTCCTCAAGTTCTTTGGCAAGAGCTGCTTATACATGAGCAGCCAAGACTCAGGGAGACTCAGCACTGGTCGTTGTGAGAGCTGAGAGAAGGTTATTTGCCAAATTTTACTTATAAAAACAGACATTTGACCTGTGGTCATAGTTTTCCAATTCTGGTATAGTACAAGTGACTTTCTTGGGATGAATTTCAAAATCAAGTCGGCATAGTGGCACATGCCTGTAATCCCAGTACTCTGGGAGGCCAAAACAGAAGGATTACAAATTTAAATGCAATCAAGGCAACTCAGTGATTTAGCAAGAGACTTTGTATTAAAATTAATAATAAATAAATAAATAGGTCTGGGAATGTAGCTCAGTGTGAAGGCCCTAGGTTCAATTCTCAGTACCACAAAAACAAAATAAACCAACAGTAACACAAAACAAAGTAAATAAATCCTTACCAAGACCAACCTACGTCTACCAGAAAAGAGGAATTACCATCTTTGATCTGCCTGTCAGAACAAAATTCAATACTCATCAGAGGGCAACAACATTATCCAGATTGTCTAGAGCAGTGATAGAGAAATTTTTAGAGACCAAGTGCCCAAACTGCAACCCCAAATCTACTTGTTACAAAGTGCCAACACTCTGATTAAACCAGAATACTGAGTTTTAGTTTAGAAAAAACAGCTCTACCACTTACCTGGCTCCCACCCTACGGGAAGGACTCTGCGTGCCTGCTGTGGCATACATGCCATGGGTTTGCCCACTGATCTAGAGTATCTAAGTCACAACACTTAGTAAGTTTAACAAAACCCTAGGCCTGTGAAGAAACAGGAAAGTATGACCAACTAGGAAAACAGAGTGGCATCAGAAACAAAATATAAGATGATGTGGATTTTGGAATAAGATGAGGAACTTCAAGTAGTTATGATAATAAATATGTTCATCCATAATACCTTTACTTGCAAGTTGACTACAATCTATGTTTTATAAAATTTTGCTGGACAGTGTCATGCCCACTCATTTACATTGTCTGTATCACAGTTTTGCTGCTATCATTCAGAGTTGAGGGAGGGAAAAGGGAAAAAAGAGAATAGAAGAAAACGGATAGAAGCAAAATTTTTATAAATATGGAGGGAAAGAGGTGTTGAAGGAAGAGGAGTGGAATGAGAAAAAAAGGAGAAGTAAGACATATCATGTGCAGGTTACAGATTCCCTATGATGAGTGTTATCGTTTTGTGTATCTAAAATGTACCAGTAAAAAAAGAAAAAAAAGAGACATCAGTTCACCTTAAACCCATCCATTAATTACAATAAAAAATTCAATACACCTTTTGGTATAAGTTGGCAAGCTACGTTAAAAGATCTCTTTGAACATGCAAAGAATCTAGACTGTCTCAAAAACAAAAAGCAGTTGAAATAGTGCTCAACAGTTGACACCAAGCAAATGCAAATGGAATCACGTGTTGAAATAACCCATGAAAATGGGTGAAGAATAAAAAGATTACAGCACCAAA